ACTCCGAGTCAAATTGATTGGTGGGCCAGAGACGGTGTAATTTTGAAGTTCGTTGGTGTGAGCTGATTAGCTCTTAGAAATCACGTTCGTGCCAGCGAGCGCGACTGACGCCCATGCCCACGATTTTTGAGTCAACTTCTTTCCACTAAACTGGCATCGTTGTTCCGGCGGTGCTTATCATCGCCGGTCACTAGACCTCGTCACAGCCACTTGTAGAAGTTTAACCGCTTACAGTAGCCTGGAAGTTTCAGCATGGTTGGTTTTCTGGGTACAGGAAGCAGGAATTCCCCAGCGACGGGCAGTTGCCATCCTGATACTACTCTGAACTCGCCGCCCCATCCTAATGGAAGTGCTGCTTGCGTCTTCCCCGACAAATCTACTCCCAATCAATCTACCGGCCACCAACCTCAGAGTACTAGTGACAACAGTCATGGTCCCCTTCGTTTCTTTTCGCTTCCTCACTGGACACGAAAGGTACTACCTGCCTCCGTGTCTGCTCGCCGAAGTCTAGCTAGTATGCCCTCTGAACTCGGCGTCATTCGGAGAAACCCCTCAAAACTTATGCTGGACAAGGAGCTCCCGCCAACACCTCCGATCCAGAGTGTAGCGGACAATCCCAACTCTGTAGAAACGTCCTCGCCCATATCCACAGATAGATTCGCCCCCTCACCTACCTTGCTACAAGCCGACGCACCTCCAACCTCCGCTGAAACCAGACATACACAGTCAACGCTATATTTCGATGTATATCATAATCCTGTTCCCCGTGGAGTGAACACAGTGTCTTTCGTCACTACCTCACCTACGGGCATCGACCAATGCAACTCGACCCTTCCGCTACGACACACCAGAAGTACACAATCATTCCTTTCGCATAAACAGGCAGACCGGTCAATGCAGCCTCTCGACGGTGCAGATCGAGTTCGCGGTTTTTCGTTCGGCCAGAGACAATCTAGTTCTAGACGAAAAGATGCGGAACCACCGCCGACTGGTGAAAACAACAAAGCATCACCTGCTCCCCAGGCGTCGACTAAATCCTCGCAGCAGCTGCTTTCCGTTCCGTTTGATTCTTTGTCCCTTCCAGCATTGCAGCCGACATCACCATTTCACATAGACTTCCATTCGGATACTCCTGCATCTTCTCGGCAACCACTGCAACGATCCGCTTCAAGATTGACACGAAGTCACTCAGAAAAGTTCTCCAGACGTCCGTCCACCTCCAACTCTGAAGCACCTGCATTACCCAATATTCTATTAGCATTTGATTTGTCCCAGCATCATTCAACGACTGCCGATTCAACATTCCCTTCCCATCATCCACCCCGACCCGCGCTGCGCCGCCCCTTGACTGCCGATTCTGTTCGTTCACGCACTCGTTCATTTTTTACTCTATCACCACAAACAACATCCGGTCCTTCCACACAAACCCCGCACTTTGGAAACGCACTCTCAAGTCTCACCACGTCTACCTCCGCCAATCATGCAAATAATCGACCACGTTCTGCTACGAATCCACCTCTCCTGCACCGGCTTTCGATCAATTTTTTTGCATCATCTACTGCCTCAGCAAAACCTGGGACAGTTTCCGGCAGTTCCATAAGTGCCTCGCCAGTTTCTCGATTACGCCCCCAATTGCTTTCATCGGTACCATCTCAGGAGCTGAAACCTCAACATGACGAGTCGCCCGAGGCCTTCTTGAAGAGACTTTCCGCTCTTGTTGGTAAAGCTGATATTGCGGGGTTGTTGGGATCAAGGTACATTATATCACTTTTCACTTTTCACCACTCTAAGTTGGTTCTCAGTGCGGAAGCCAAGTATGTAACTACTCTCAAACTTTATATCGGAAAATTCTCTTTCACTGGGGATCCTCTGGACGTTGCTCTGCGTCGGCTTTTGATGCACATTGGTCTTCCTCGGGAAACACAGCAAATCGATAGGGTGATCGAAGCTTTTGCGAAGCGGTACGTTGAGTGCAACCCAGATATATTCATGTCCGACGGTAAGCACGATTTCACACACGTATTGGCAATGGACTTGTACTCATTAGACTTTTAGATATCCCATACATTCTTGCCTTCAGTCTCATCATGCTTCACACAGATGCATTCAACAAATCCAATAAGCGCAAGATGTCAAAAGTTGACTATCAGAAAAACACGGCTATCTCGGGAGTTATACCCGAAGTGCTGGATGTATGTTGTAAATTGACCATTCTAACCCCTCAGAACTGATGCACGACCTTAGTGCTTCTATGATAATATTATTTTCGCTCCTTTCATATTTATCGAGGACCCCATGGATCCCCCTCGTCCATCAATTGATGGCAGTCTTTCACGACCTACTTCCACCAGTGTTCCGATGACACCAATAGGAGGTACTCTACTGAGCAGACCAAAGATTGATCCGTATTATCTGATCACCAATGTAAGTAGTTTCGCTTCTTCGATGCACTATCAATGACACTTTTACTTTGAAGCACTTACTTGATTCGCTCCGCGTGAATGTCGAACAGCACATACCCATAGATAACCCATACTGTTGGAAGGGAACAAGCGGTTCCTGGAATAATGACGAACTTTGGTCCGCCTTTGACCAAGGGGATACGATAGAGATTACTTGCTTTGAACACAATCGCTTGCCTTCTGGGTTGTTCGGCCTTAACGTCCCCAGTCCATCACTTATGGGGACAAACGCACTCCCCGGTTTCTTACCCCCTCAGAAAGAGACTTGGCGGCTTAAGCTGTCGAAAGTCTCTGTTTTGAATCGCAAGGACGAGATCTTGGAAGGCGGTAAAAAACCCTCGAGCCGCAAGTGGAAGCCGTTTGGTGTTGCTTTGACGACTTCGCAAGTTCTTCTTTTTCGTGATCCATCATGGGCTGCCACTTTTCTGTCATCCTCGGATTGTTCCAACCAGTCGACCATACATTGCAAACCCGATGAGGTTTTGTCGGTGAAGGACGCACTCGCTGTGTTCGATCGGTCATATCAGAAGGTATTTCTTTTTCATTGCTTTTCTGTGTGATGCTAACGTCTCTGCAGTATTCAAACACCTTTCGCCTGGCCCTAGCTGATGGACGCCAGATCTTGTTCCAGGCTTCAAGTGAGCTGGAGGTTAATCAATGGGTTTCGCGCATCAACTACGCTAGTGCTTTCAAGTCTGCTGGGATACGAATGCGTCCCCCTGGCATGACAGGCAGGGAGGTGACGCTCACTGGGGTTGCTGCTGCGCAATCATATCTCCAAGACTTACGGGTGGTGCAGCAACCGCAGCCCAAAATTCGGTCATGGGGTTCGCAAAGCTCGCACATTCGTGATACTGAGTCGACCGACGAAGGCACAGAAGATGCTGTCGAGCGATTAAACTCAGAGGAACTCGAAGCTCTGCATGGCATCACCCATGAACCTCCTGTCGTGCGTGAGATAGAAGGGGCATCCCAGTTCAAAGCTACGTTTGACCAAGTGAAAGCGCAATTGGCTGCTGCTCGATGCAGTCTGGGTGATCAGTCGGTGTCCTCGAATAACGTATCTGATGCTGATGCTCCCTTCCCTGGGCATCGTTCTTCCCTGATAGCCGACGACAATCCCTTTCCCCAAAGCAACCGCACCATTCTCCTCCAATCCACCATCGGCGATCTCGAAGATCGGATCTGTGTAGCGCAGCCACTTCTCGAAACGAAGATGCACTTCGCTCGCAACATAGCAGTTTTGACACCCTTTCAGCGGTCAACGCGAGATCGGCTTCAATATGCAGTACAAAATGTAGCAAAGCAGATCTCCCAGTTGCGTCTGGAGATTGCTAGGCTCATTTGTTATCGCAATATCCTGCTAAATGATGTTGCAGCAGAGGAACAGGGGTTTAAACAGGCAGCTACGATTGCTTTGAGCGCCGCCATGGATACTATACAGAGTCGAGGACAGTGTATACCTGAGCCGACAACATCGTCCGATGATGGATCGCTTGACGTGTCGTTGCCGCGATCATCTTCCAAAGTCATACCCGGTTCTCTGGAGCCCTCCATTGATGATTCTTTCCGGTCTGCTCTAGATTTCGGTCCAGACTGGCCGACAAACTACACGTTTTCTGTGTCGAACGTCTTAGAAACATCGAGAATCATGGACTCTCCTCTCACTGAAGGGGAAAGCTCGGGATACCCGTTCCTAGAGGCCGACACCAGTCTCTCGGAGTCTCGGACGGCTCATTCTATGCGGAGCTCTCTAGAGTTATCCGTACAAGGCAACAGCACTCCCCATTCCGTCTACGAGAAGTTTTACACAGCGCAAGAGTCACCTGAAGAGCAAGCTGAGGAGTGGAACAAGACTCGAGCGGCGAAACGTGTCTCGCTTGTCAAATTGCCCCCAGACATTCGACTGTCGGCAATGTTTGGCAAGACTCAACGGAATGGTTGTAATGACCGGATGATATCCACGGTGACTCGGGAGGATTCTTCTTTTGGATAGTTCCTTTTCGCATTGAATTTTGGACAATCTACATACTCGCCTACTATTACGTTATATCGCTTGAATTGTGCCGCATACTACATAGTTTTGAACTGAGGTTCCAACTGCAGTTACAGGCTGGTCTCCGTGGACGACCCGTGTTCACCATTATGATGCGAACTCCTCGCTGCTGGGCGAAGGATAGCATATAGCTGTACTAGGCCAAGACTTGCAAGCTGTGTTCCTGGATTAATTACAAGTTACATTCCGTCGTTGTCATGCGGGTCGGACGGTGCCAGTCCCTGGCCTCACTAAATGTCTGGTGGTGTCGCCTGGCCAGGGGATCTCAGAGGCACTCGCGAAGTGACGTGTACGCCACATCATGTGTATCTCCTCAAGCATGGGTGAGTTCAAGTTGGACGCGTACTTAGTATGCGTGTACTATGCTAGTAACGGCAACCTGTTCGGTCCGGAACCCCCCCATAGTATTCGTTTAACCGCGGCACCGGATGGGCCCATGGCTATTCATCGTGCCTGATATGTTACATTGTACGGAGGTTTAAAATACTTCCATGAGAAATTTTTATCCAGAGTAGCCATGACGTTAACACAGCTGTGTATCATGTTGCCACCGTCAAATCACTGGGCCACAGGCACTCATGGAAACAATCCAAGGTCAACCAACCTTGCGTACATTAGTACGTCCGAGCTGTCAACAACTTCTTGCGATCGTCACGCTGCTCGCCGTCTGTTTATTAACAGTGCCAGCCCGAAACCTAGCCTTCGACGTGACACAGTCCCCCCCTTTTGTCCCTAATTCCTCGCAAAGTAGAATTTGTGAAGCCTTTGTAGGTGAGTACGCTGTCCCTCTCACTATCCATTCGTTGTCTGATTGATGTCGAGGAAAAGAAGTGACCTTCTCGTTCTTATTCTACAATCCAAATCGTCTATGGTACCATGCCTGTCCAACCAGGAGAACATACTTCGTCTAGCACTGGCACTACTCGATGTCCTGTCGAGCTTCGATGCTGTATATCACAGGATGGCATGCGTCGCAAACCAGCTGCAACTGCCAAATCACTTTCCCCCTCTCAACTCGACACCATTTCGCAGAAGGCTAAATCACAGACAATTCGTGACGGTCCTCTGCCCACTACTGCAAGGCTGAGCCGAGTATTTTCTTTCCCTCAATTGGGTACGAATACCAACAAGTCAACGAACATTATTCCAGCAATCCCGACTCAATCCGATAGCATTATTGTCAGCAGTCGCAGTAAACGATTGGTTCGACATCCCTCGCGAAATCCCTCGCGACATTTATCATCAATGTCAACTTTCGCACAGACATCCTCCTCGCAGCATGCTACCCCCTTCACTAGCACACTACCCCGACCACCTTCGATGTGCGTTACGGACATAGCATCAAAGAGGCCCACAAACAGAACATCCTGTTCACTCCCAATCTCTGTTGAAGATGAAACGGACGAGGAAAGTGATGATACAGTTGCACGTTATCGGAAAATAAGGCAACTGCAAATGGCCAGGTTGGCTAAACTGACTCGTCACTTGGGCGAGGATATTCCGCCGGAATTGGTTTTATCTTCCACTATTCCAACAAATATACTCGAATCCAAGAGTCGGGTAGACAGCCTTTCAATACATTCAAGTAAAGACCACCGGAGATGGCGGAGTTTAGACCCCACAGAAGACTCCCAATCGGCACCAGCACTTCCGAGCTCGTGCACGCTAAGGAAGAGTAGGTCACTGCGTGATACAGATGGCATTCTGCGACTGCAGACCCGCAGTGAGCATGCCGTCAATGTCGTAGACTGGAAGCTTCCGTATGCTTTCCACCCTCCACAGACAGAGGTTTGTAGTTTGTTTTATCTTATTTTTCAGAAAATAAGCTTGATCCGCATTTTTGCAGACAGATCTCCTTCAACATTCTCAACCCACAGACTGTACCGCGGTTTCTATAAACGGACATGATGATGTTTATCATTCGTTGATGTCGACTCCAAATGCTCCCTATGGTTCTCAGGATTCTTTACAACCACTACCTCCTACATTGTTACCCACCTCGACACCTAAGCGATCACAATTTCATGGGAACCCGGTCGCGGCCGAGTTGACCCTTGACAAAATCTCGAATATGGAGTGCAGAGAAGAAAAACCAGACAAGTTTCTTGGTGTCGGCATCAACCCCGAGTCAATATCTCCAACAGATCGATCACTATACCCAACCGACGTAGCAGTTGGCATCCGTCACCCCTTAACACAAAACCCCCCATGCTCTCAGCTCGAAGTCAGGGTGCAAATCAGCAAAAGGACTCGTTTCTGGCGGATGAAATTCGGGAAGGATGTGGCGCAGACTCTGCAGAGCACTAATCCTGGCGATATTGCGAAGCAGCTGAGGGAGATGAAAGCTTCTATATGATAAAAACACTTATGTAGACCTCTTAAAGTTGATGGTTTGTACTTTCTAATTTACATTACTTGCCTGCGATCGCGCATTATTCCTTAGGTTATATATAATAATTTCATCTGTCAGAGACTCACTCACTTGTCTCCACCCATTGTCCACAATCGGATGCATTTGCCACAGTGACACAAGGTCACGGATTGCCTTTTAAACTCAGTTGGCCCTAGTAACCCTAACCTCAATCGAGGGTTTTCTTAACGCCACTACTCTCTAGTGTCAGCCAGTCAATGCACATCGTTATGGTAGGCAAATAACACTGTGTTCGTGCCCCTCTGACTCCGCATTTTAGCCCATATTCCAGGATGCTAATGGTCTTGCCATCAAGTTCTTCATTCAGAAAGATATTGCTCAGGAAATCCAAGCTGAGCTGTGTGAAGTCGTGGCTGTGAGTTGTAGCATCTCAGTATCTAGTATAAGTAGTCTGATTTGCTTCTAGTCATTAGGTGGTCGGGTCGAAGCAAAGGTTCCAAGACAGGGATACGTACTGGTACAACCTGGTACTGCGGAGGAAGAGCGTCTTCGCCTGTGCTGGATGGCGCAGGATCGACCACAACGCCATTTCGTGCCGTATACATACGTGGAAGCCTGCAAGATTGCGGGCATGCAGTTGAAGCAGATCTTTGTGGAAAACGGCTTGCCCGTCAAGATGCACATTCATCCTAGCATTGCTAATATCAATGCACGCACAACTTTAAGTCAGAGAATCATGGTGAGCGGTGTCCCGCAACGACTTATTCATTCGTCTATTTCAAGCTCATCATGCCGACTTTGTTTCAGCATTCCGGTGGCGACCCTACTTCATCTCCGCAGTCTGCTAAAATCATTCTTGCGGACCCGAACACAGAAGTCTTTCAACATCTCGTCAAAACATACCAAGGCATTCCGGATAAACATGTCGAATCGTACTTGTGGGTCAAGAAATGTGTTGAGAAGGGCTCTCTTGTATACACCCCTCTCATCTACAAGAACCCTGGCGGCCGACGTCCTGGGGAAGAGTACGTATCTATCTCACTCGCTCTTGTACGCAGAACATAAACCGACGTGTCCTCCTAGGAGAACGCCATTCACTGAAGATGACGAACAACGTTTATGTGAATGGATTGCGGCAAAGATACCATACAAGCAGACAGGCGGAAGGACTGGAAATAGGCTCTATCAACAACTGTGCGAAATGGTGAACCCTTTTTATCACTATCTCAGGATCTCCATGCTCATGAAGATTAGATCGCGGACCCAGAATACGCATGGGTTTCGCGTCATACATGGCAGTCTTGGCGTGAGCGTTACAAGAAGAATGCCGTGCGCTTAGACACCATGATCGCTCAAATCGTTGACCAGAAGAAGCCAGTTCCTGGGGAACAAGGGCAGTATGGCTATGTCCGGCAAGATGAAGAGAACAACAAACGGCCCAGAAAGAAACGCACCAAACCTGCGGAACAGAATTTGCATAAACAGGAAATGATAATTGGCGGCATTAACGGTAATGGCGCTGAAGTACCCGTGATTGTGTTCGACGCGTCACCGGTTGAGTCAGGACCGTCTACATCAAGAGTTTTTGTTCGAAATAGCCCTGCAGAGGAAGAACTGGAGGATGGTGAAGACAGCGAAGAGTGGGCGGTCCGCATCGGCAATGAACCTCCTCCAAAGTGGGGGAAGCGACCCGCCAGTGAAGAAAGTGAAGCACGGAATCCTCGTAAAAGAATCAAGTCCGAGTGGGTAGTCATGGCAGTTATTGAATATCTTGGGCTTATGGATTTTTCAGTGATTCAGATTCTATACAAGGAACTTTGTTGGACCCTGGCGTCCATCTCATCGACCGGACGTTACAAGAAATAGCTACGCAGTACAGGTTTACACTTGAAGAGGTTAAAGAGTTTTATGACCAGTGTGGCGAAATGGAGCGCACGAAGAATCGCTTCCAAAAGATGCGACAAATATTGTCGAGTATCGGAGAGTCATAGCAACCCATTAATGTTTAATTTTACGAGGAGCAAATTTTAATATTGTATGCAATATATTACAGTTTCTTCTACGGAAGATCGACTTCAGTAAGTTTGTAGTCTGCTGCCCGTACGGGTGCTGATGGACTGTCGAAAGGCTTTCGGCGTCTATGATGTTTAAGTTGAATATAGCGCCAGCATCCGCAGTCCCACACACGTACCTCTCGCCTGCAGCAGCGGATGGAAATGAGCCAAATAGATCTGGATGTTTTGGAAGTGGGGATTCGCTTCATTTGCTCGCGTTAGCTTGCAAATATACAGAGGATGAGATGTGTTTGACCTGAAATACGGATGTTGTACAGCCTCTTCAGCACTGATACGTTGTTCGGGATCGTAGGTGAGTAGTGACACAAGCAGGTCGATACCAGCGGTTGTCATATGATGAAAACGCTGACGAAATTGATGTGGTTGAGGTGAGGGAAGAGTGATGGATTTTGCCAACGGAAGAGTGGAATAGTCAGGCCAAGATAGACTAGTGGGAGATCCAAGGAGCTTGAAGATCATGGAAAGAAGTTCTATTTCGCTTTTCGCTTGAAACAGCGGTTCCTTCAGGAGGAGTTCAGCGAAAATGCATCCCACGGACCACATGTCGATAGCAGTTGAATATGTTGTAGCTCCCATTAGAATTTCAGGAGCCCTTGAGGGATGCATCATCTGCGATCATGATGTTGAAAACAATTGACATACCGATACCATAGTGTCACAACAAGCTGTGTCAGGCCACCAACACCCACAGGGTCTCCATACCGTCTCGCAAGGCCAAAATCAGCAACTTTGATGGTCCCGCGATTATTCATGAGCAAGTTGCTGGTCTTTAGGTCGCGATGAAGTATCCAGTTGGAGTGGCAATGTGCGACCGCGGACAGCAGTTGAAGCATGAGAGTCTTGATCTCGGATTGCAGGAAGGGCGAAGGCATGAGTGTCAGAAGAGTTTTTAGATCATGCTCGATAAAGTCCATCACTACGAATACCCTGGCATGTGGGCGTGGTGATGTTGTGACATTTCTGAGATGCTTTACTCACTGAGTCAAAGTATCTCCGACCACAACTTCTCTGATTCGTACCACATTATCATGGTGGCATGACATGAGAGCGTTGATTTCACGTAGGGCAGTGATAGGAAACCCATGTTTCTCCTCATCAAGTTTCAATTTCTTCAGTGCGACGATATCGCCTGTTTCCTTATCCCTCGCCCTGAAGACAACGCCGTAAGACCCTTCTTCGATCTGATTGAGTCTTTCATAACAGTAGACTGAACGAGATGGTTGTATTGATGGATGGTGAGTTCGAGGAGGAACATATATGCTATGTAATGGACGGGAAGGACGAGCAATGGTAGTAGGATGCGACTCTGAACGCACGGGACTAGGTGGACGCACGACGTGAGACCTGGTCCTTGCGGGGCGTTTCGATGATTGCTGCTGTTGGCGAATTGCTAGATCATCTGGATCTTCCTCGTCCCATTTCCCTCTTTTGCGCGGTGTTGATGCTGAAGACGTTGATTCTGATGGCATTGCCATGCTTTGTGGCACTGTGCAGACAGTAGGAGAGAATACTAACACGTGACACCTCAATCAGTTGCGTGTGCTTCATCGCTTTCACTCCTGTCAGTCGTCAGTACTTCAATATGGATAATGTTATGGACCCAGAGCTAGCAGCTGAAATGGTGAAGCTTCTGGGGCAGGAACTAAAGGTTGTCCGCAGCCAACTTCGTGAAGCTGAGCAGGTAAAATAGCTCGAGTCATTCTTTGTAGGACTATCATGATAGCTCATACGCAAGCCCTTTCAGAGAACTGGGACTCCTGCAAGCGATGTCATCTCAACTGGTCCCCAATTTCAGCGCGAGGAAGCCCTACGGGCAGAGGTAGTCATACTAAAGGTTGAGAACGCCAGCCTTCGAGAGGAAATTTCACGTCTCCAGGGTCAGACAACAAACATTCCGCTCAAGATGGAGGGCGATCCTTCCAATATTGTGGTGCAATACTCTGCGGTATCTAACTTGTCGCTGGATGTGCGCTCTTCTTATCTTATCGTCATCAACAGTCGATGGACGCAATTCAAAAAGAACTGGCTGACGCGATTAAGGAGAAAAACACAGCAATAATGGACAAGGTATATCGGGACCACACATATCACAGTACTTCTCAAACTTTGACCCAACTAGGAGAAGGCAGATGAACAACTTGCGGAGTTGACTAGCGTTCGTGAAAAATATCGGAAGCTCAAAGCGAGCAAACGAGAGTGCCAAGAGGTATTCGCAAACGTATGATATTGGATGGAACCTAAAATTTCTTCGCAGGTCATCGACGAATTACGTGGCCAACTTGAACTCTGTCTAGAAGAACGAGAGCACCGGGAGTCAGAAGGAAAAGTACTGTAAGCAGACCATATTCTTTGTGAACCCTCGTAGTGAAATGACGTGCAGCAAATCCGACCCACCTTCATTCTTTCAGAATACAGAGTATCCGACTGTCGGTGACCAACCGAATTGCAACGACATCCCTGTGTACTCTCCCATCTTTTCCATGGGCATTCCCAGGGTTCGTGGTAGTATTTGCT